GTCTATAACAANATTTTGTGAAATTGGACCCTTCGAACATTGTGTTATTAATACTATGATAGACAACACGCAGTATAAATATGCGGATATTCACCTAATTTACGGTAAAGTTTGCTGTAATGCCAGACCTGCTCAAAGAATCTATGCAGAGCGATACCCCAATCGTCGGCATCCGGGTCGTGAAGTATTCGCCCGGACCCATAGAGAAATATATGAAGGTAAGTGATTTTTACACCTTTCTCGTTTGCTTGCTTGTTAACTATCATTTTTCACTTTTTTAAGGTCGCATACCTGGAAGGCGTGGCGGCGAAACAGGACGTCTTGCAACGGTAGATGTTGAAGTTGTGTTAGAGGAAGTGGAACTAGGTTTATCGACTTCAGTGAGAATGATGGAAAAACGGACGGAAATACTAAAAACTACAGTTCAGAAAGCTTTGAAAGACCATCGATTTCATCCCTACCACATTCAATGTGTTCAGGCTCTACAAGAAAGAGATTACCTGTCGAGGGTTAGATTTTGCCGTGAAATGTTGCGAATGCATGAATCAGAACCCAACCTTTTTAATAAAATAATTTGGAGCGATAAATCATCATGCAAACGTGATGGTTATTTTAATTTACATAAGTAACCTTCACAGTAGGCAGATAGACAATCCTCACGAAATGAGAGAAGATCGTTCGCAGTACCGGTACAAAATAAATTTATGGTGCGGTATTTTTAATATCAGATATTGGGACCTGTGGAACTGCCGCCAACGCTCAACTCTCACAGTTATTTAGAGTTCCTTCAGGAACGGCTTCTAACTTGCAGCGAAGACTATGGATGCAAAATGACGGGTGCCCTGCTCACTACGGGCGTGAAGTAAGAGCTCATTTAGACGAAACTTATCCTCTGCGATGGATTGGACGATACGGGCCAATCACGTGGCCCGCTCGATCGCCAGACCTGAATCCATTCGATTTTTTCTACTGGGGCTGCCTTAAGGACAAAATTTATTCAAAAACAATTCAAAACGAAGAGCATTTGCGGGAACAAATAAATGGAGCTGCTGCTGAGATAGCCCAATTGAGTTTAAGATCTCTAAAAGCGCTTTTTCTTAAGAGGTGCCGAGCTTGTATTAGAGTAGAAGGTCGCCAATATGAGCATATTTTATCAATAAATGAATAAATATTTCTTCAAAAAAATCATGTATATTTTATTTCACGTGAACCCATCCTTCACAAAAAATAT